ATCTTTCTGCTTCTGCCTCTGCAATACATCCACTCACCTCTGCATACTGCACAAACGGCCAGAGATTCTTTTAAATCATAAGAGAAATCATGCCACTCTTCTACTCAGAACTCTCCAATGGCATCCATTTCACTCTGAGTAAAGGCTAAAGTCCATAACATGATCTATAAAGGCCTGTGATCTGGCTTCCAACCACCTCTCTGATGCCATTTCTTCTTTTCACTCACTGTGCTCTAGATATTGGCCTTCTTGTTGTTTCCTAAACAAATCATGCAAGTGTTTATTTCAAGGCCTTTGTTAACCGCTGTTTCCTCTGCCTTCCATGCTCCTTCCCCATGTTGCAGTTAGCTTAGTGGAATTATTAATTCCCAAAATTCTGTCAGGTAACTGGATGGTTCTTTTATTGGTTTCACCTGGATCTGCTCATGAGGCTGCAATTCGCTGGCAGCTTGACTGGGGCTCGAGTACCTAAGATAGTCAAATTCACACATCTCAGACTTTGGTGCTGGCTGTTGTTTGGTCCACTGTCTATATGTAGCCTCCCAAAGTTAGATATTCTACCTCAGGTTTTCTTACATGATAGAAGGAGCATCCTAAGAGGGGAAAAGTAGAAGGTGAAAGGTCACTTAAGGCCTGGGATTTGCAATTCATACAATGTCTTCTTTGACACTTGGTTAAAACAAGTTATAAGGGCAACTCAGATTCAAGGGGGTGAGAAACTCTACCTTTTAATGGAAAGAGCTGTAAAATATTGTGGATGTGATATACCACACCCCAAATATTTGCATGGCTCACTCCTTGCATATGTTTGCTCAAATGTCACCTTATCAGTGAGTACTTTGTGATTCCATATGAAGTACCTAACTTTTCCTCACCTTAGCCTTTACTGTCTCACATTTTTCTCTTCTCTACAGCATGTATCACCATCTGACATTGCACAATTACTTATTTGTTTACTATCTGTCTCCTTCCACTACCTCAGACATAGCCTTGTATATAGCAGGCACCCAATCAGTATCTGTTGAATACATTCTGTCAAGCATGTGTCATGAATTAATAATGCAAGATCCAAGTAACTTTAAAAAGCTAATATAAATTTTACTGTTAAAAAATGTTGGTGGCTTTATATGTTCTTTTATTCTGTGATTTTGAACAAAATATTTTATAATGCTTCAGTGTGGTCATCTATAGACTTTAGCCATGTGTCTCTTGTTTCTTAGATATAATGAGGCTGGGCACAGTGGCTCACACCTGTAATCCCAGCACTTTGGGAGTCCAAGGCAGGTGGATCACTCCTGGATCCTGAAGCCAGGAGTTTGAGACCAGCTTGGCCAATTGGTGAAACCTTTCTCTACTAAAAATATAAACATTAGCAAGGTGTGGTGGTGCTTGCCTATAATCTCAGCTACTTGGGTGGCTGAGGCACAAGAATTGCTTGAGCCTGGGAGTCAGAGGTTGCAGTGAGCCAAGACAGCATTACTGTAATTCAGCCTGGGCAATAGAGCGAGACTTTCCCTCAAAAAAAAAAGAAAAGAAACAATTTTAAAAAGAGAAATACATACAATGAGAATTTTTTTAAAAAATCTAGATAAATATTAATTATGTACCTAGTCTCTAAAACCAATAATTTAAACTCTTTACTAAAAGTGTCTGCAGAGCCTAGAAAAAGCTATCTTGTTAACCTATATTAAGTCAGAGTTTAACTTAGAAAAAAAACTTAAGTAAAAAATGCCAGAAAAAATGACAATAGTTTATTAGATACATATATGTGTGTTTATCTATGTGTATATAAAAATGTTCTGACCTAGTCCTGAATCCACTTCTTATAAACAGAGTAAACAGAGTGAATGACATCAGAAGAAGGATCCATACTAGAGGAGGTATCAGTACTGAAGCCACTGCCACAACCATCCCAATTAACTAAGGGCACTGTTACCAGGTCTAAACTAGCCTTACCTCCAATGTGGAACACAAGATTACCTATTAAAAATCCTCACTAATTGCTGTACTAGAACCATAAAACCTGAGACACTAACTAAGTGACTCAGCTAGTTAATGATAGAAGAATCTTCTCCCTCAGAGAAACTGTGGTTATAATGGTTAGGGTGAGGGTGGGGGAGATATGCTTTTAATTGTATATCCTTTTAGCCTTTTGGTTGTTGTTTGTTTTTTTTTTTTTTTTTTAAACATGCATGTTGAACCTATAAGCAAAAAGTAAAAATCAAAACATTAATTCAATCGAAAAGCAATTAATTCCCTCCATGGCTCGAGATACAGTAAATAAATCTAAAAGGAAGTTTCCATAAATGGCATTTTATACAGACTACTATAGGTAGCTGAAGAAAAAATCAGAATAAAATAATAAGCACTATATGTATATGCATGTGTTCATGTATTTGTATATTATGGCCCATGTGGAAACCCATTCCCCCTTGCCAAATTGATACGATAGGACATCATTTAAATGCAGAAGATAGTTTGGCCCAATAATGTCCTATTTTAGGCAGAAGAAATCTCAAAACAAAGAACACAAAACACTTGCTGGTTTGAAAAATGTTGGTTCAAAAAACAAGTAAATCAGAATTTTGTTATTTTAAAGCAACTAGGGCTAGGTGCTATGGCTCATGCCTATAATCCCAGTGCTTTGGGAGGCTGAGGGAGGATTGCCTGAGGCTAGAAGTTTAAGACTAGCCTGGGCAACACAGCAAGACTATAAAAAAAAAAAAAAATTAGCTGGGTATGGTGGTACCAACTGTAGTCTCAGCTACTCGATCCTGTAGTCCTGGGATCACTTGAGCCTAGGAGTTCGAGGCTGCAGTGAGCTATGATGGCACCATTGCACTACAGCTGGGGCAACAGAATGAAACCCTGTCTCCCCCACCCTAAACAAAAAAAAAAAGGCAACTCCGCTTAGGATTCATTTTACTTATACCAAATAGATTTAGAGATAATGTTGAAAAAATTATCCACACACACTCTTATACTAATGAGTTGCTGATAAATTATTATGATTGCTTTGGATATGCTTTCTTGTTAGAACTCTCCCAAATACCTAGGTTAAATTCGAACTTGATGTAGTTATTGTTGTGAATGATCTTTAATGAATGTAAATTTTCACTAACATTAAATGTGTCTTTCATACCAGCAAAAAAAAGAAAAGAAAAAAGGGCTAAGTAATGTTGATTTGATTCCCAGCCCTGGGAATCTTCTCATTCACAGAAAGGAGCTGTTCTCTTCTACATTAAGAAACAGAAATAGAAACATTGCTATTTCAAAAATTTGATGAATCAAATGCTTGAAGAAAAACCACATATACATTTACAAAGTCTAATAGTAGTTGATATGGCGTGGATCTATGTCCTTGCCCAAAACTCAAGTTGAACTACAATCCCCAATGTTGGAAGTGGGGCCTGCTGGGAGGTGACTAGATCAGATTTTCCCTTTGGTACACTGACTGTGAGTGAGTGCTCACAAGATCTGTTTTTTTTTTTTTTGAATGTGACACCTCCCCATTCCTCTCTTCCTCCTGCTCTAGACATGTGAAATCCTCACTTCCCCTTGACCTTCCACCATGATTGTAAGTTTCCTGAGGTCTTCCCAGAAGCCACTATGCTTCCTGTACAGCCTGTAGAACCGTGAGCCAATTAAACCTCTTCTCTTTATAAATTACCCAGTCTCAGATATTTCTCATATTTTAGCAATGTGAGAACAGACTAATACAATGATAAACAGGAAGGGGTAAACATAAAAAGGACAGTGAGGAAACAGTTCCTGGTCTAGGCATTTCCATGAGCTAGTTGTATGATCTTGGGCAACTCATTTACTCTCTAGGCCTAATTTTTTCATGTGGAAAGAAAGGAAGGAATAAGACCAGGTACCTCAAACATTTTTACAGATTTTTAAGATCCTACTAAGTTTTTTATTAGCACTACAGGTCCAGGCACAGTGGCTCATGCCTGTAATCCCAGCACTTTGGGAGGCCGAGCTAGGTGGATCACCTGATATTAGGAGTTCGAGACCAGCCTGACCAACGTGGTGAAATCCCATCTCTACTAAAAGTACAAAATTAGCCAGGCATGGTAGCGGGCACCTGTAATCCCAGCTACTCAGGAGGCTGAGGCAGAAGAATCAATTGAACCCAGGAGGTGGAGGTTGCAGTGAGCCGAGATCACACCATTGTACCCTAGCCTAGGCAACAAGAGTGAGACTCCATTTAAAAAAAAAAAAAACAAACAAAAAAAGCTACAAATTCTGTAGTATTAGTAAAATGTCCACTGTTATAACCCTTTGACCCAGAAAATCTTTTAAGAATTATCCCAGAAATGGACTGGCCCATGTGAGCAAACATTTGTAAATGTGGACAAGTATGTTCACTGGTATTTGTATTAGCAAAAGGCCTACAGAGAAAATAATTAAATGTTCAGAAAAAGCTACTTTTAAAAAATCATAGCCATATACACAATGGAATAACCATAAAGTCATCTGAAAGACTAAAGAAATTATCTGGAACAATTTCCAAAATATATGGTTGTATGAAAAAAGCACGGCAGAGAATGGTGTGTATAGTGTGTCATTTCAACTTTTAACAAAGGATAGTAAAACAGACACAAACACATGGATATAAACGTGTGTGTGTGTGTGTGTGTGTGTGTGTATGTATACACACACACAAAAAATTCTTGTTTATGCAAAGAATGTTTCTAATTGGATACACAAGAAACTGGAATTGGATACATAAGAAACTGGTAGTAGCTGCTGCTTCTAGGAGGGGAACTAGCAGTTTAAAGCAGAAGTAAGATTGAACTTTTCATTGTAAACTATTTTCTACTCTCTGATTTTACTACGTATAGCTTTTTCATTAAATAAAGAAAAAAACACACAAAATATTTACTTAAAAATACTTATATTCTCTATGCTTTAAATTAGCTAACAGGCCTGATTTACCAAATATGTAATATTATCTGAGAAAAATTACTTTATGCAAATATTTTTCAAATTACCTTGAAAAGCCTGGGAAACACATCTGCTGGTTGTCCACGAATCACAAACAGACGAGAGTTTAATTTTCGTAGATTGGCATCAAGATCCTCAAGACACTGAAGCAAAAATCTAGAGAAGAAAATATTACATAAATTATTAAAAATATATATTTAGAAGATAAAGTATTATAAAATCATGTTATATAAGTTGAAATGCCAACCTTTTATCTTATTACCTTATTGATTTATAAATTACTCTTTCCAAAAACCATACCAATATGTATTTTTTAATTATAGCACAAATTACCTAGTATTTTAATGAAGTCTTGAATAAAATCAGTAATTTTCATTAAAGTGATTATTAGTGAAAATTTGTGAACATAAAAATATATAAAGAAGTATCAAAGTAATTAAATGAAATTGGTTTCATTGTTTAAACTTGATGAAATATTTTATATACGAAAATGGCTTTTCACATAGAAAGAAACTTGAAAAATCTAGAGTATCTTATGCTGGAGGGGAAAAAACCAGAATATCTTATATAATCAATGAGCAAGCAAATAATTTAAGAATACGATGGTAAAATGGAATCTGAGGGTATAAAAAAAAAGAAAAAAAGAATATGAGTACATTTTTGTAATATTGTAATCATTTAAGAGACAAATCATAATGCCCATTTTCAAGTTTCTAATCCATTTAAAAAAGAAACTAATAGTAAATAGATGCCAAATTATGTGGCTATTAATTCTCTGAATGTAGAAAATGCCATATTAACTTCTCAAAAAATGAAAACGTTCCATGGAGTGGGGGTGGAGACTATAGTCTTTATCAATGAAATAAGTAGTAACAAGGCTTACACATGACAAATATCTAGGAAAATTCTGGGGCAGTACCAGAATACTGCTTACTGTGCATTTTCAGTTGTGAAGAAATGGAACACTCCCAAAGAGCAAATTTAAAAGAGATATCACCCATCGAAGATCCAATCTTATTGTGTGCCTCATGTTAATTTTCATCTAGATTCTACTCTTTTCAGCTGGACATATCTTATTTCCTATTTTGCTTCTTTTATGTTCTTGTTATTAAATAGGTTAAGTATTTGTTTGCCACATGGTCCTTGAGAATAGTGAATATGTCTTGTGAAGAGGAGTGATTAAGAAGCAGAGAAAGGCATATTCTAGAAGTATACTATCCAATATGGTAACCAAAAGCCCCATGTAGCAATTTAAGTTAATTAAATTTAAAAATCAGTTCCTTAGTCACACTTGCCACACTTCAAGTCCTCAACAGCCACATGTATAGCTAGTGGCAACCATACTGAATAATATAGCTATAGATCATTTCCATCATTGCAGAAAGTTCTCCTGGACAGATAGTTCTAAAAAGCTGCTTGGTCTAGATCATTTTGTTCTCCTTGCCAATTCTGATCCCATCATTTCACCAAATAAGTCTTGTTGATTTTTTACAACTGTAGTTATTAGTAACATAAGTATACTAGTCAGGTCTGACACTTCTTCCTCTTTAGGAGCACCATCTGTACAGCTTAAAGAGTCACAGTGCTATATATATATATATATTTATTGTACTTTAGGTTCTGGGGTACATGTGCAGATCCTGCAGGAATGTTGCATAGGTACATACATGGCAAGGTAGTTTGCTGTCTTCATCCCTCCATCAACTGTATCTGGAATTTCTCCCCTAATTATCCCTCCCTACCCCCCTACTGTCCCTTCTCTAGCCCTCCCCAACTGACCGTAGTATGTGATGCTCCCCTCCCTGTGTCCAAGTGCTCTAATTGTTCAACACCTGCCTATGAGTGATAACATGCAGTGTTTGGTTTTCTGTTCTTGTGTCAGTTTGCTGACAATGATGGTTTCCAGGTTCATCCATGTCCCCATGAAGGGCACGAACTCATTGTTTTTTATGGCTGCATAGTATTCCATGGTGTATATGTGCCACATTTTCTTTATCCAGTCTATCATTGATGGACATCTGGGTTGGTTCCAGGTCTTTGCTATTGTAAACAGTGTTACAATGAACATATGTATGTATGTATGTTTATAATAGAACAATTTATAATTCTTTGGGTATATACCCAGTAATGGGATTGCTGGGTCAAATGGTATTTCAATTTCTAGGTCCTTGAAGAATCACCACACTGTCTTTCACAATGGTTGCACTAATTTGCACTCCCACCAACAGTGTAAAAGTGTTCCCATTTCTCCACATCCTCTCCAGCATCTGTTGTCTCCAGATTTTTTAATGACTGCCATTCTAACTGGTGTGAGATGGTATCTCAATGTGGTTTTGATTTGCATTTCTCTAATGACCAGTGATGATGAGAATTTTTTCATATGTTGGCCTCATAAATGTCTTCTTTTGCAAACTGTCTGTTCATATCTTTTGCCCACTTTTTGATGGGTTTTTTTTCTTCTTGTAAATCTGTTTTAGTTCTTTGTAGATTCTGGATATTAGCCCTTTGTCAGATGGGTAGATCACAAAAAATTGTTTCCCATTCTGCTGGTTGCTGGTTCGCTCTAATGATTATTTCCTTTGCTGTACAGAAGCTCTGGAGTTTAACTAGATTTTATTTGTCTATTTTGGCTTTTGTTGCCATTGCTTTTGGTGTTTTAGCCATGTCCTTGCCTATACCTATGTCCTGAATGCTTTTGCCTAGGTTTTCTTCTAGGGTTTTTATGGTGTTAGGGACATCCCACCATTTCACCTTAGGAAGTCTAAAACAGGAAGCAAACCCTTCTATACTCACATTTATATTTCATCTCATCCCTTTTCTGCCTTAGTTTGGAGTCACCTCCCTAACACCTGATCCCCACCCTAACCCATCACTACCAATGTACAAATACGTCAAGGAAAAAGACTGTTGTTGTCAGATGCATAGTGATATAAAAGCATCTGAGTTTAATAAAATTATCTCTGACTATGAATAATTTATTATGTCTGGTTACAAATGTTTACTGGGAAGCATCTAATTTTATGTATTTGCTTGGCAAGAGGAGTTACTCGATAGAACAAAGATCAAAGAGTTTTTACACGGATCAAAAATTAAGAAGTTGAAAGAACTAGCAATTTTAAGTTTTATTAAATTGAAACAGTACAAAACTTAAATGTCCTGGAGGGGTAATCTAAGGCAATGATAATCCCCTAATCTCTGTTGTATCATTAGTTTCAAAATCTTCCCCACCAGAAGTGAGGAAGAACTGAGAACAGCAAGAGTTCTCCATATTCAACTTTTTGGTCAAAACGATTCTATGTGGTGTAAGAGTTCAATGACAGTAAAATGGGAAAAGAAATAAAGCAAAAGGACATGATTAATTCATAAAATGAAGAATTAAGTATGAATTAATAATTGGCTCTTTATCTTTCCCTTTCTTGTTAATAGGCTGAATAAGCATTCTTTTTTTTTTTTTAAAGACAGGATCTTGTTTTGTTGCTAAGGCTGGAATGTAGTGGTGCAATCATGGTTCACTGCAGCCCTGAATTTTCCCACCTAAGCCTCTGGAGTGACTGGGACCACAGGAGTATGCCAGCACACCCAGGTAATTTTTGTAGTTTTTGTAGAGGTGGGGTCTCCCCATGTTGTTCAGGCTGCTCTCAAACTCCTGGCCTCAAGTGATCCTCCCACCTCAGCCTCCCAAAATGCTGGGATTACAGGCATAAGCCATCAAATGCCCGGCCTTAATAAACACAATATGAACCAAACAAATGCACAGAATTATATGGACTGAAGTAACGTGTTATAATGGAAAAAGTTTTGCGGCCAAAGAATTAATTTTGTTTTGGTACTTCATGAAACAAAGGAACAAAAGCTGTATTTAAGTACTGTTTTCTTCTTCCAGAGATATCATTTATATCCCTCATTTCACATAAAAATTGCACAGATTTAAAAAACAGAAGCACTTTAAAAATAATATAGGTACTCTGTAATCAAATATTTTAAGTAGAAAAGTCTGTGAAGAAAAGGAAAAGAGAAGGATAAAGTAGAACACACTATGATGCTGTTCTTTGTTATAAGGCTTTTAAAACTATTTGCATATATTACTTTAATAAAATAAAATTTACATTGAATGTATCTACTTTTGCTTATATGTGCACAAGAAAATAATTGGAAAAATACTCACCAAGCTATTAATCATATCTACCCATTAAGGACTAGGGGTTTGAGATAGGGGTGAGAAAGAGAAAAACAAACACATTTCTTTTAACTTCATAAAAAAGCTTAAAACTGATAGTGTACATTCTTTTAAAGTAGAAGAAAAATGAGATATGCTATTTCTACTGTATGCCTGGTTTAATACACAGTAAATATCTTTTCAAAGCAATGAACATACTTCTATGGCATCAATTTTCATAGTTTCATAGTATTCCATTGCACGGATGTCCCATAATTTAACAAGTCTATCAACAAATTACTATCCTTAAATCAATCCTGAAAGTCCTATTTAGTCTCCTCATCTGTAAAATTAGGACAGTAATAGGACCTATCTCATAGCACTGTCCGTGAGAACTAAATAAATGAACAGGCTCTTAGAATAGTGCCTGTCCATAGTAAGTACAATGATATGTTATCTATTACCTTTTAGTGTTCTCCTTTCTACCCACTTCTATTTTTGCTATAATAATTCTAGTTCGTATTATCTCTTGCTTGTACTATCTACTGCAATGCCTTAAAATAGATCTGCCTACTATCAGTCTCTCTCCATTCTAATTCATTTTATATGCAATTCTAAATCTTCGTGGGCACAACTTCCTGTACAAAGGTTTTCAAAGACTCATTCCCTATAAAATACACAACAAATTATTTTGCTTGGCTACTAAACTAGGGTTCTAAGTTTGTTTCCTGTCTCACACCACCCCTTTCTCTCACACCAAACCAAACCTTTCACCACACATTCAATCTCCTGGAATTTGCTCCATGCACTTTCCTTGGCTTGGAATACCTTTACCAATTCTCATTCCTTTAAGTTCATATCTCACTAATCTTAAATCTTCAAGGTAAAAGTCACTTCTCCATCTTCTGAACCTCTGAGGTACATTATGTCCTTCAGAGGATGAAAAAATTTTACCTCATATTATAGCTATCATACACACACACACACACACACACACACA